GTTTGCTTGGTTCCTCATACCCAAACACGTAGGTACCAGAATTCATTAGTGGAAATCCACCCACTGCAAAAATGAGTGCACCACAGCAGATTTCTATCTCATTAGAGTTGATTTTCAAGCTGCAGGAAACCTGGCTGTAAAAATTGCTTTTCAGAGAACAACTGAAACACGTTTCAGTATGCTCAGATCCCTTTTGCAAAATGACTAGAGTACCGGTATATAGGGTGAAATCATGACTGCAGACAGAACAGTTATTTGCTCTAACCACTAGACATGCTCTGTGCCATTAAACTGATTCACCATAGTTTCCGTTTTTTATAGTCTGACCAGTAGGACTGATGAACCTACAGTCAGTTCTGCTAGAATTGTCATCCAGAAATTTCACTAAACATCTTCCACCTCCAGTCTGACTGTTTTAATGTGATTTGATTCATACTTGTAAATGAAGATTTTTATAAAACATATAGTGTGTTACGGACTCATAGGGCTTGGGCCCTCTCTAGATTCCCTCTCTAGATTTCGTATGGTCCCTAAGAGGAACCATCTTGAGTGCACCAGCCCGTTTTGGGATTAAACCATAGGCCCAGCCGCCTCCTGGAACCGCACTTCACTGAGCTTTCAGCATGCCTGTTTCTCCCCACCCTTTCCCAGCATCTCTGTAACAAGCAGGGTAACTGAGTCCCCCCAACCTCTTCATGCAAAGGAATGAAAACAAGAAAACTCCCCCCTCCCTCATAACACAAAGCTGTCTACAAGTATCTGAAATAACAAGGAGAGAAAAGGATTATTTAGGATAGCCCAAGGAGATGTGTTGTAACTAATTAAAGGAAATTCAAGGTGACTATCTGAAAATACAAATCTATGGTAAATTTAATGGAATAATCTCCCTAAGAAATTAGAAAGTATCCATCCATCCATCCCCACACTGTCAGCTATCTATCTATCTATCTATCTATCTATCTATCTATCTATCTATCTATCTATCTATCTATCCTGTTTTACTGTGCTCATCCCTGTGGTTTCTCAGTGCCTGTCTAAGCCCTGTTGCTCAATTATTTTAAAACTACACATAGCATTTGACAGTAGATTGCACAGACCAGGCACACAGCTATAGACTAGAAAACACGCTGTAGCACCTTAAAAACTAACAACACATGTAGATGGTATCATGAGCTTTCGTGGGCATAACCCACTTATGTCATCTGAACAAGAGGGTTATGCCCACGAAAGCTCATGAAACCATCTACATGTGTTGTTAGTCTTTAAGGTGCTACTAGACTATTCATTGTTTTTTAAGTTTTTCTAGTTACACACTAACTCAGCTACCCCTCTGAAGGTATAGACTAGCTGAGGAAAAAGCCCTAATGTCCTTCATATTTAAATTCTATGATGATTGAAGTTAATGGGAGATGCAAGCACCTATGAAAATCAGCCCACTATTCATTTTGACTGACTAGGGCTATGTCTAGACTGCAGGCTTCTTTCGGAAGAAGCTTTTCCAGAAGCGATCTTCCAGAAAACCTTTTTTCGAAAGAGAGCATCTACACAGCAAAAGTGCATCAAAAAAGCAATGTGCTTTTTTGAAAGATAGCATCCACTCAATGTGGCCGCTACCTTGCATTTCAGTTGTGGTTACTGTGGATGGAGTTGCCATGAGGGCACCTGTGCTTTTCCCTGGAGGCCTCTTCTTTCGAAAAAACACTCTCTTCTGCATCCACACATGCCTTTTTCTGAAAAAGCTTTTTCGGAAAAAGGCTTCTTCCTTGTAGAAAGAGGTTTACCACTGTCAGAAAACCCCCTGCATTCTTTCAACTTTCTGTTGAAAGAATGCAATAGCAGTGTGGACTTAAGTATTGTTTTTCCGGGAAAATGGCTGTTTTTCCAGAAAAACTCTGCAGTGTAGAAATACTCTTTTTTTAAATGTACCACTGTAGTACTCACTAATCATGTGGGGTGCTTATGTGTGGTATCTACACACCTGTTACCTGGAGTGACCAGACAGCCAGTATACCCCCATCCATGAATACAGGTGCAATGCCTCTGCCCTAGAAGCTGGCGGCCACATTTATGCCAAGCCAGTGTATCAGCAATCTGAGGTTTTGGCTAAAATGTTTCCCCCAAATTAGACTCTTTGCCTCGGGCCGAAATGGCAAACAGTGTGGGATCAGATGCACACCCTTAACAAAATGCAATAAATAACACCAGGTCATCCATGAATGGCTGACACACTAATTAAGGGGCATACCGGGGTGAGGTGTAGTGCCCCACCACCCGGGGTGGAATGTAGGGGTCAATTGCCGAAGAACTCTATACGTGTGAAGTATAGGGGTGGTGAGGCCTGAATTCTCCCCCCCTTCTCCATTCCCCCTTTTCTCTACTACATATGAGCCAGAAGCAACCCTCTAGGAACATAGGCCATTGTAGAGAACGAATTTTAGATAAGGGCAGGAACATAACAATCTTGTTTACCTAAATGTACTGATCACATAAACAAAGTCAAAGGACAAGCAGTACAGCTGAGCCATACTGTAACAAGCAATGAGTAACCCCGGGAAATTTCCAAACTTCCACAAACAAGGTAGAGACACAGTATTTAAAGCTTCACCAGAGCACAGAAATTTGGACCTCACCGATGGGCTTTGGGTACCGGCGCCTCGGAAGCTGAGACAGTCTCCCACTTCATCTGCAGCTGACACGGGTTCCCTGGCTAGCAGAAAGGATGTAAGAAATGCCATTTTTCCTATCATGTTGCTCTTTTAGTTAAGGGGCACAGCTGATAGCTGTCAGGAAATAAACTGCTTGTGTTTGACAGATACCTGTGTAGCGTTTTTTGTACTTTGAGAACCTAGTGTCGGACCTGAGACTTACTCTTGCCGGCAACATTATTTACTTCGCAAGGAGTTTGAAACTCTACAACCTTTTATTGTATTCCTATATTGCATTTAGAGGACCATTCCCTGAGAGGTCCTAAGCACTCCAAATGAAGTGATGTACCGTCCCTTTGTCAGAAGACAAGGCCATTCTGATTCACCATGCTTGCTGCAGTGATGTATCCATTCCAATCACAGTTGCATTCATTGATCAGTGAGTTTTTCCTTCAATAACACAACCCACCGACAGCAATGAATGTTGATTGTGACTTTTGGGGCTTGTAAGAATCCGTCCGCAAGCAGAAATGGAGCTGGGGCACTGAGAATAAGCATCTATAAAACACCTTCATGCAGGAGGCTCTCAAAGAACTTTAGAAACATTCATTAGTTAAACCTAACAACCCCCTGATTGGAAGACCAGTATTATCCCCATTTTACAGATAGGGAAACAAAGACACTACTAACGGATTTTATTCCAGAACAATTTCGCTATGGAAGCACACATTAATCTAGCATAAAATGACTTTTATTATGCAACAGACCATCCATACAGGGAGCTATTGTGCAATAATCTTTGCAGGATACCTTATTTCACAATAGCTGTTCTGGTCAATTTCCCTGTGTAGACAAGCCCCTTGTGGCAGACATATGAGCAGGAGGAATGGTTAACTGTTTGACTTTAGCCCTAGAATGTGCTTTCTGAGTTTCCCACACTAGCTGAGCTGTGATACCCACATGAGTTGTCACAACTGTGCAGTTTAGAGGAGGAACTGCTTTCAGGGGCAGACATACTTTACCCTTTGGGAAAGGCAATGTGGATTTAAGATTAGGGAAGGGGATTTCGAATAAGAACTCCTACGCTATTCTGCACTAATATACTCGATTTCTCTTTCTAGACAAGCCCTAGAAGTTAGAGGTGTGATATTAGATTGAGCTAGCTAACTCAGTGTAATTAACATATTTTAACCAAGATAAAGTAATAGTATTTTAGAATATGGTACTCTGAGTGAAGACCTTGGGGGAGACCTGGTTTTAAACCCAAATCCTTCAATTCAACTGCTGCTACTCAGGCCGCAGGGCACACTCAACGGTCGATGGTTTAACCTTACTGAGAAAACTCACCGACAGCGTTGAATGTTCACTGAAACCTTTGCATCTTTGTAGCTTAGGCCACCTGCGTGGCTGGACATTTTGAGTTTTGTCACACGACAGACAACTTTGCCCTTCTGTAGTTTCCCTCCTGCTTCCTATCCCTGTCCAATCTCAAATATAGTGGCCATCGTTCTGAGCATGTCTCCTGACTCTTAAATAAACATATAGCTTCCATATCTCTCCCTTGCTTCTCTGTCCCCGCAGGGCTCAGCTCAGGTCCACATATATTTCTGCCCTCATCTTGTCCTATACTCTTCCCCACTCTATTCTTCTACAAAGGAATTTTACCACCCAGTTACAGAGAGAGACTGCAGAACTGGAATTCATCTATATAGTTGACACTATTACCCTGGGCTTGAATAAAGACTGGTTAACACATTACAAAGCCTATTTCCCCTGCCTTTGACGTCCAGATTTTCACATCAAAAGCTATGAATGGGACACATCCAGCCCACTTAATTAGTATCATTAATATGGGTCTTATGATTGACAGCCACTTCTTTTGCTGTTATATATATCTTGGATTCTGTAATTTCCACTCCAACTCATCTGAGAAAGTGGGCCTTACCCGTGAATGCTCATGATACTATATATTTTTGTTACTCTCTAAGGTGCCAAAGGATCACTTGTTGTTTTTAAAGTTACAGACTAACGCAACTACCCCTCTGAGATGCTGTGAAATGCATGCCACAGTGGATAGAGACGACAAGACCCGTTCCTTCTCCATACTGACTGCATCTGGCTTTGGGTTCCCCGAGTACACGGAGACGGATGATCGAGGAATTTGCAGTTGTGAACATCACTGCTTGGCCCAGACGCCTGTGCCTGCCGTTGGGGGTGGGAGGAATGAAGACAGCTGCTGGCTTCACATGCTGTTACTGAGCATGCTCAATACAAGCTAAGCAGCAAATTGGGAGGGGGAGGTGATGGGACTCTGTTCCTCCCCTCCCATTCCCCCGCCTCCCCCCCACCACACACCATGTGTCATCTCTGGTTGGCCTTCTCTGTTCAGATCTTGGATTTCTTCTTTGGGAGTTCCAGCAATGCTTTGTTCCAAGCTCCTCACATCAACATCCCAGCTGATGGCATTCCACGCTGTTCCATTCCCTGCACACAAGAGAAAGTCTGATGAGAAATGCTACTACAAGAAACAACAACATGTCCCTAGTTCCTACCATAGTCACTCTGATGAATCCTTTTCCAGAGGCTCATCTCCATTTTTATAGAGTTTAAGATTTCCTGGGGGGGGAAGAGAATCACATTTCTAGCCCTCTGGTTGTGTAGAAAATCTCAAACACATGTCAAGTTGTGTGAAGCTGCAGCTGGTACAGCACCACTGAGGGAAGTCTGATGTGTCCCATTCATATCAATGAGGTGTTGATGACACAGCTTAATGATGAGGATTTAAAGAGCAATTTTAGAAGCCATTAAAGACCTTTAATTATTTCACAGTTGGTCAATTTTGCAGAAATATTGCCACAAGGCAAGAATGTAGTTGTGACCTACACCCAGTGTGGTTCACTGTCCCATGCAGTGGCACCTAGACCACAGCAACAGATAAGATCATCACTTATCCCATTACATTTCAAAAGGGTCACTAGGTGGCTCTGCCCTCCCTCTACCCCCCCTCCCGTTTTTGAATTGCCTTGGGTCACCAAGTCTTCCTGAATTGTCAAAATGGGTCCCCATCTGGAAAAGGTTGGGAACCGCTGCATCTAAGCAAAGCCCAAAACACTTTTTGAGACAAGATTAGAGTTTTAAGGGTGCCAATTAGATGGAACGAGTTAAAACGACTGTTAATTCACATTAAAGGTCTTGTCTCCATTAAGAAATGACATACTTTAATAGAACACCTACCACATGTTAAAATCCTAGCAACACAAGGCAGGCTGTAGTTTGAACAAGTGCAAGCTGGTTGAGGAAAACCCCAGTGTTCTCCTTAGCTGCAAGGTGCATTTTCACTAGGGAAAAAGTGTGTTCTTAATCTGTCTCAGCCGGGTAGCTGTGTTAGTCTAAAAACGAGTAGCCCAGTCTTGTGGCACCTTAGAGACTAACAAAAATATATAGAGGATCATGAGCTTTTGACCACAAAAGCTCATGATACTCTATATATTTTTGTTAGTCTCTAAGGTGCCACAGGACTACTTGTTCTTTATTTATATGGTAACTAATACAAGATAATATCTTAGAGAAGACAAGGCAATGTGTAATTTTAACACAAGGTCAAAATAAACCATAGGGAGCCCCATAATCTTTACTTTGATCTGTTAGCTCACATTTCTGTGTCCCACTTTACTCATCTGTGAAACAGCTGTTTTTATCCATATCTAGGTCATAGGAGAGTTACGGTAAGAGATTAAACGGTCCTCTGTAATGCTCTTTGAGATCCACAGATGAAACATGCCAGACTAGAGGAGTATTATCCTACTTCCTTTGCTCCACATTTGCAGGACTGAAACATCTGATCCAATCCTGCACACTCCTCAGGTCACTCGGCCTTTGCTGAAGTCATCCGAGAACTGAGAGCAGCCCAACACCAGGCAAGGCCTGGCCCTAAAATAATTTGTTTGTGCATTAATTTAGTAGCACCAGCAGGGGGCAGTGCAGCACAGCCATCTCTTCTTATTGGTAGTAGCAGCTTGAACCTATGGGGAAATCTGCCTCTTACCATATTTTTGTATCCATTCAGAAAAATGTTACTGATTAGGAGACTTGAAAAGGAGGAGAAATTACTCTGTGCAGCTGGTAGGTGTGCAAGGTGGAGAGTTTTAAAAAAACTTTCAAAATATAATCTGAGGGAGACCCTTTCATCTTGAAAAATTCCAGTTTGCTTTACAATCTGAATGCCCCATGCTGTTCTCACCTACGCTGGAGCAAAAAAACCCAATGAAATTGGCTAGGGATGAATTGAGATACTACTGTGAAGAGCAGGGCATAAAAGCAGAGGTTAGATGGAATAGATTACATGAGATGGAGGACACCGTGATAGAATATTCTTTCCTCAGCCTACAGAAGCCCCTCCCTGACATGCTGTGGAGTTGGAGTAGGGTGGCCAGGAGGGGGTAGGCAGCAGCTACTTGACATGGAATATGCCCAGAGCAACATGTAACAAATCTCTCAGCGGAAATTTGGACCCAAGTTAACCTTGCTCCAGCTGCTGTCGGAACTAGAACAATGCTGCCCCGATTACCTGGGCATGCTGCTAGGACCATATTCTTTAGGAGCAGCAGCCAAGCCAGGAGGTGGAATGGCGTGGAAGGGCACCACGCAGCAGCAGCTGCCAGAGGCTTTCTGTCTGTGCAGCACAGAGGCAGGCACCAGGCCTACAGAAGGGCAGCTCCTAAAGAACATCCCTGCTGTGTAGTGCAGAGTGGGGCTGAGGCATGGCCCTGCCCTCCCCTGGCATCACACCCACCTGGCAGCATCTGGCACTCTAGGGCGTGCCAAGACTCCTTGGACACTTGCATTTGTGGCGCAGAAGCAGCAGGGGTCGGGCTCCACTGGAACGCATGTTCCCTGCATCCTGCTTGTAGGCAGGGAGTCAGAATCTGTCTGGATCTACAGCACTGGGCATGAGCCTCAGTTCTCCTCCAACAAAGGATCTGCGCTGATTTGCACCCAGTGCCCTCGTAGCAGGCAAACAGGTCAAAGTCTGCCCTCGGTTCCTCCTGGGCACCTTCCTTGACGTGAGTGGGATTAAATGGGCTCTGGCCATTCAGACTGAATCCAGCAGCTCTTCTTTGGACTTCCGTTGCGCGCTCTGATTTCTTTTCATAGTCCAGCGCTGCTCTTCCCGTTCCTGCTTCCCGTGTGAGAGAGAGAGACCCATGGCCTTATAGTAACAACACCCAAAGATGTTCCCAAAGTCTCTTTCTCTCCTTTTTGCCAGCACAAACATCTTCCTTCTCCCCGCCCCCCAAGCCACGTGACACATTCTGTGCACTGGTTCCATAAATTTCAACCAGACCAAGCGTGTTGCATATTTAATGCAGCCCTCGCCTGCCTCTTGCGATCTCTTTACATAAGACCCTCCAAGAATTACCCAGCAACACGGATTCACCCATCAGCTTCTCTTACAGTAGCGTGTGGACATGCATGTGGGACAAGGCCCTTCCATTCCGGTGAGGTCCTAGGGATTTCTTGTTTTTCCGGACCAATTTCTTGCCTCATGCAGGGATGGTTTATGAGGAATTGTGGCCCCTGGATCTAGCGCAGACTCAGGCCCCATTACATCCTTCCCAGAATCCCGCAAGAAAGGAAGTATGAGCACAGTTCACAAAATGCCATTGATGAAACCCTGGTCCTGTCAAACTCAATACGGGATTTTTGCCATTGACTTCAGTAGGGTCAGTATTTCACTCTTTAGGCAATATGTAAAAGTGGTAGAGGCTTTATACATGGGGGACCCCCCCGGTCCAGTACCATCAGGGCCTGAGCAATCCCAAACCACAGAGTTTACTGGATGAGGGGAAGTCAAAGCTTCCCTCCCGGCCTGTCAGCTCTGCTCCCCTGCTAGCCCCACTGCCCCCAGCCTTGCTGGGGCTGCGCTCCTGCCTGGGACAGAGCTGTACTCCCCAGCATATGGGGGGCACCAGGCCTTGTTGCCTCCTTCCCAGCTGGGGCTGCACCCCCCACTGTGCCCGGTGCCGGCCAGCCCCACTGCCTGCAGCCCATGTGGCGCTGAGCTCCTGGCTGGAGCTGTTCTCCCCACCGCCAGCCCAGCCCCTGAACCTGGCCAGATGGGGGCTCTCTGATCCACTCGTATCCATGGTCTGTTGCCAGAACAGAGAGTCCTGGATTTTCAAGGTTTATCCTGTATCAGAATGAGGGGGAGAGAGAGTGTGAGAGAGGGGATGTGGGGGGATAGAATTATCTTGCTCTTGCAACTCCCTGGAGCCGCCAAACCTTCCCCCTCATGCCTAGAAATATTTGGAGGCCAGCAACAGAGGCCAGATAAGCACACGATGGATTTGACTGACTGCAGATACCAGGCCCTGGTCATATAAGAAAGGGTGTAGGTGGGGAGAGGCAGGGCACCAGTTAAGGGGATGTGTCACTAGCAGGGATTCATTGGACTTTCAGTTGGCCGGAAATTGCTGTCTCCATTGATTAAGGGGCAGCACTTAGCTCTGATCTGTTGATCCCTGGCCCATTTGTCCTCCACTCCCACTGCTGCTATTCTGAACTTCCCAGTAATCAGAGCCGATGCCAAGGGATTCTGGCCGGGCTTGGGGTTGAAGAGAAACAAATCTCCGCAAATGGACGTTTTGCTGGCTAACGTTTTGGGGAAAGGGATGAGTGTCTTCTCAGAGTCTCCTCCATTGACTGCCCCGTCGTCAGACCAGAATCAGACTAGCCTGAGTCACATCCATGACTGGGAGATGTGTCAGCCAGGGGTTAAGGGAAGTAGGACAGGGAGAGACGCTGGGGGTCATACCGCGATCCTGGCACCTGTCAAGCAAGCATAGGAGCTGCCTGGATTTCTGACCTGCTTGGGGAAGGCATCTTCTTACCTTCCTGGGGGGCTGCAGCGAGGAGATCGCATAAGCCCGAAGGGAGCCAGCGCGTCCAAACGAGCTTGTGTCGCGTCCCTTGTAGAAAGGCAAAGGGAAAGTCTCCCTGCAAGAAACAACAGTATCAAGGGAATACGGCTCCAGGGGCCTCCTCTCTCTTCCTCGCCAGGGTCCCATCGAGTCCCCTTATCTTTCCAGGAGTTGGCTGCGGGAGGAGCCGGGCCCCCTGATTACAGCGGAGGGCTCTTGAGGTAGAGGCCGGCATGTGGCCAAGTCTCTTCACATCTCTGAGCCTCCATTTCCCTGGTCTATAAAGCGGAGGGAGGGGTCAATACTTGTGCCACTGCAGGCGGGTGAGGGACACACAAAGGACACACACGGTGCATAAAGCCAAGAATCGGGAGTGGGCTGCATGACTGGTCCTCCTCCATCTCAGTGGGCTGCAGCAGCCCACAGCCCATGAACCCCCTATCGGCTCCCCTCCCCCCAGCACCAGAGCCCCACACTTCCTATTTCTCCCTCCCCTCCCTTTGGAGCACCACGAATCCGCTGGTTTGCGCTCCACCCCTGTGCCTCCCCCGCCCTCCCAGAACTAGAACAGTGCCGAAGCGCTGAGTCGCGGCATTGCAGCTCTTGGAGGGAAGAGAAGGAGCGGAGACGGAGCGCGAGGCCGGTGATTCGAGCTGCTCCAAAAGTGCTGGGAGGGAGGCGAAGGAGCAGGATGTGTGCGGCTCCAGCCCCCCAGTGCGCCAGAGGCACGTGGGAGTCAGGGACAGAGAGCGGGTCTGGGGGCCGCAGGTTGGCCCCCACTGATTAAAGTGTCTCTCAAGGTGATGTCGATCTACTAATGTAAGTTCGTAGTGTGCACCCGGCCTTGTCTGCGCTGCAGTGAGGTCCCTGCAGCTGTCTTGTGCCAGCTGACTCGGCCTGCAGTGCTGTTTAATTGCAGTGTAAACTTCGGGGTCCAGACTGCAGCCTGTGCTCCGGGATCCTCCTATCTCGCAGGGCTCTAGAGCCAGGATGGTTATGCTGCAGCCAAACAGCCCTGCGGCCCGAGCCCCAGGAGCTGACTGAGCTGCCACGGGCCAGCTGCCGTTTTGTAACTGCAGGAGCAACTTTGTACCGTTGCTGGGGGAGTCTAGCTGTGAGGGGCACGGCTGCTGGGCTAGCTGAGAGTTTCTCCCACAGCCGGCATAGACGCAGGAAGTAGGGTGCGGGGGGTGCACCCCCATATATTCCACCCTGCTTCCCTCTGCCCGGGGTTTATTCCCACTGCCAGCTCCGCCACCTGTGGGTCCCGGCCTCTGGGGGATTCCACCCCCGCCATCCCTGCAGGATCTGCAGCCAGGCCATCAGCCCTGGAGGCTCCGCTGTCGTTCAGGTTTCTGCCGCCGGCCTGGGGGTCCGCACCCACCTCCCTCTGTGGCTAAGCTACCAGCTCTCCTGGATCGTACAGATAGACATCATTATCGCAAACGGCATCCGGCCCCTCCCGTCTGGGAGAGCTGGCAACCCGAGCTGTGACCCCAGCCGGGGGCGGCAAAGGGCACAAACAGGTGTGGGGGGGTGCAGCTCAGCCCTTGTGGTATTTCTGCTGGGAGAAGATGGAAGTGGAGTAGCTGAGAGCTCCTCGCACAGCTGGTGCCCTGGCAGCATCCCGCAGTCGAGTAGCTGGGAGGTTTTTTCCCGATCTTGTGCAATGCTCCTCACTGCAGTAGTAACTCTCCATGGGCCACACCCTGCTGCCTGCTCCAGTCCAGGGTTTTTTGCTGGGAGAGTCGTGTGGTATTTCTGCTGGGAGAAGATGGAAGTGGAGTAGCTGAGAGCTCCTCGCACAGCTGGTGCCCTGGCAGCATCCCGCAGTCGAGTAGCTGGGAGGTTTTTTCCCGATCTTGTGCAATGCTCCTCACTGCAGTAGTAACTCTCCATGGGCCACACCCTGCTGCCTGCTCCAGTCCAGGGTTTTTTGCTGGGAGAGTCGGGCTGCCCCGGCCAGGCAGACCCCTTACACCGGCACTCACATATTGCCTGCTGCTGGAGTGGCAGGGTCTGTGAGCAGGGACAGTGCGCCGGCTCCATGGGCTTCAGTGAATATTCCCCAGGCTGCAAGGAGAAGAGATGTCTTGTGCTGGAGAAGAGTTACTGAATTATTGATTCAAATAAGCACATTCTATACATGTATTCTAGGCCTAATGCTCCAGTTGGAATTCCTTATGTACCTGCGGATGCCTTTCTATGAAGGAGATTATGGAGAAGTCCGGAAGGGAGACAAAGGAATGTCAAAGAAAAATCAAAAGGCAGATAAAAGGGATGCCGGTGGCCTTTCATGCAAGGACTCCGTTCCTCAGTAGACAGCTGTGTTCACTTCACACGAGACAGTCCATCAGAAATGAATGAGATGGGATAAGTGCCTGGGAGATTTGCAGGAGTTTGTCTAGACACAGCTTGCCTGCTGCAGCGAGACGCTGCATTTAAACAGCCAGCATCCTTTTCAAGTTGCTCCTTTTTAAATGCTCCTCCATAGCCCTGACCCCCTCCATGTACCACACAGACACACACACACAGAGACACACACACACCTACCTCCACATCTCTCTCTCTCACCACGGGAGTGCAGTCTTTACAGATCCAGTAACCTTGGGGGATTTTCATACAGAGGCGGCATTAGACAGTGAACCCACATCATTCTCCTGGAGCAGATAGAGTTGGGAGGTTCTTTGCAGACGTTTTGTGAGATGGCATGGGGGTGCCCATTCAATCAGTATATTACAGTCATGAGGCGCTTAGAGAATTAAGAGAGTGCATCCTTTCTGACCCACCCTTTTTCCACTGACTAAAGAGAGAAAAGAAATCCACGGCCCTAGGAGCCAGAAATCACTAGCCCTCAGGCAGATGATGTCTGTTGAGAAGGAATAGAGTTAAGATCTAAAACTCATGGGCTCCGTTCGGCTGCTGGTGCTAATGTAAATCCTGCCGTTACCCTGAATTTACACTGGTGTAATTGAGAGCACCAGTTTATTTAACACCTGGGAGGGTTTTAAAAAAACATTTAAATTGCCTTTGCATCTTGTGGTTGTTTGTTTACTTGCTTGCACTTCACTCAGCTGGGGATGGTGCTAGTAGGTTCCTTGGGTTCTTCTACTACTTGTTATTCCCCTGGGTTTGGGGGGTCTCAGAATCTCGGGGGACAATTTAAATGGACGATACTAACCGTTTGCAGTGTCATGTGGCACTGGGCCAGGTTCTCCTGCCGACCCTTCCATGGATGCCTGTCGAGTTGTGCAGAGTGTAGCTGGTAAAAAAAGTTGTCTCTGAAGCCAACAGAAGAAACCGTTACACCCGTCACAAAAATAACCTTTCTTGTTTATATTTCTTAGGCCCTGCTGTCTGGTGGTTAACAGGGCCTAAGGGAACAACTGGGGACTTGTTTTCTAAGCCCAGTTTTGAGAGGAAGCAGCCCGAGCAGGGAGCTGGGAGTCTGAACACTTTGTAGATGGAAGTTGTATTCACATTCGGCTCAGTCTGCACGGCAGACCTTACAGCGGCACAGCCGCAGCACTTTGGGGGCACTGCTCTAAGGTCTCTGTGCCGACGGCAGAGAACTCTCCGGCCGGCATAATTAAACCACCCCCAGCAAGCGGGGTTGCTCTGTCCAGCGCTGCTGGAACTATTTTTAGGGCGAGGATGCTGAGTTGCGCCCCCCTCTCACCGCCCCAGGCTAGAGTCGCATCTGGAATTGCCTCCTCTCCCAGACCAGATGGTGGACGGCATCACTGAAAATGGCAGCTGAGCCACAGCTGGAGGCGGCTGTGGAGACCCCGGCTGGTGGCAGGCCCCAGAGTGGCAGTGCAGATTCCAGGGCCAATCACCTGGACCTCGGGGACGGTGGGAAATGGGGTCCCAGGAGTGTCAAAGCTACTGGGGCCAGCGGGACTCCAGAGGGACCTCCCAGCCGCCGCAACGTGGGGCTGACCGAGCTGGTGTCGGGGCTGGCCCCTTGGCACGGAGAAACCAGGTGGAAAGTCTGGGTCGCTGCAGCACCCCGCCCTCCTACTTCCTGCGCCTATGGCTACGTCAGAGGGAGGGGTTCTCCTGCCAACACACACCAGTGGTTTTGTTGGTGAAACTGGGGGTCGGCGGTGTTTTTTCACAACACATATTTTTCTGATAAAAGTGACAGTATAGACAGAGCCTTAGAAATAAGGTACAGGGATTGAGGGCGGCCTTCCTGGAAGATTTGTTTCAGTCAAACGCAAGTTACTGGGTTTAATACAGAAGTAAGTGGCCTGTTAATATACTAGATGACAGATAACTACGGAGTGAACCTCTAGTCCAGCACCCTCGGGACCTGACCGGTGCCGAACTGGAGAATTTGCCAAAGCACAGGAGGTCAGTGTCGTCTAGCAGCATTACCAGCCCTTCCACTGCTTCCTGGGCTCTGAGAAGACATTTAAGAGTACGCTGGAGCTAAATTACAGCATGGAACATGGAGAGCCAGGACTGGAGGCTGTAAACAAACTTTATGGGACCGCGGGAAACTTGGCCTTGCCCATAAGTGGACATCCAGCTAACATCATGCCAGAGCATGGATGTTGCTGGACCAACAAGTGCCGGACAAGAGAGACTCAACCTGTAGACCCTTCTGGCCTTAAACTCAACTGTCATATGGACTCTGGTAGGGTATGCGGTCTAGTGGTTACAGGAAGGGAGGCCTGGAAATCGGGACTCTGATTTCTGTTCCTAAATCTGCTGCTGCCTTCTTGTGTGATCTCAAAGCAAACCTCCGTTTCTGTGTCTTCAGAATGCAGCTGTTCATATTTTACTTGCCTGCCTCACAGAGAAACTTAATTAAAGAGTGTTCATAATGGGAAGTGAGATCTTTGGCTAGAAGCTGCTGTTGAAATACAAAGCAGTTGCCTCTGACTGGCACTGAGAAAGGAATACCAAGGGGAGAAAAGCCAGCAGCATTTTCAGATAGCCTACGCGCCGGCCTTTGTTGTTTTTGCAGGTGGGCCTGTGCGTGTGTGCGTGTGAAGGCATGACTGTCAACTTACTGCATAGCTCCGCTGCATCTCATTTCTAAGTTTCTTTTTGATGTCTCTGCCTGTTGTCTCCTGTCTTACAGTGTATTTTCGCCAGGGGAAAAGGGTGTTTTCTTACGTGTGGCCAGTAACTAACGAGGCAAAATCCAGGTGAAGACAAAGCCATTTGTAGTTCTCACACAAGGTCAAGAGGAAGACTCCGTGGAGCCTAGAGCACGTCTCTTCTTGGGGTGAAAACAAGGCTTTAGCCTGCAAACTCTACTGCTAAGAGGCCATCTTTTAGTCACGTGTGTGGGGTACCTAGAACAACAGGGAGTACTACACCCAAATTGTAACACTAAAAAAGGTGCGGGCATAAGGGGGACAGGCAAGCTCCCAGTGATCTCTGCTTCCTATCCCTGCTTGCACAGGCTCTGAGCCTTTGTCTCATGTTATAGGATTGAAGACTGGAGGGGAACAAATTGCAGGAAAACAATTCACCATCCTCTCTCCAGGAATGACAACACATCACCCAGCTGCCTGCAGATAAGCTGGAGGCGAGACGGAACCTCCATGTCTCCCTGCCTCCTGATTGCTTCTGAATGTATAAGGAAGTGGGAACGGCCCTGCCGGTGCAGTAATTGAAACCAGGATTAAAGACAATCTGAAATCCACTTGGTATTGATTAAAAAAAAAACCCTAAACAACAAACTACCTTGTGGTTGGATGAGGCGCCATTTTAAAATCACATCCCCCCCCCCCCCCGGCCCGCGCGCGCG